ATCCATCCATCATCCATCCCTCCATCCATCCCTCCATCCAGCCATCCCTCCATCCATCATCCATCCATCCCTCCATCCATCCATCACCCATCCATCCATCCCTCCATCCATCCATCATCCATCCCTCCATCCATCCATCATCCATCCATCATCCATCCATCCTTCCATCCATCCATCCATCCATTCATCATCCATCCATCCATCCAACATATTTATCTGCTTCTTCCTTTTCGGGTCATGAAGGTCACTGGGGTGCACGTCCAGCAATCACTGTGTGAGAGGTGGGGGACACCATGGACAGGTCTCCAGTCCATCACAGGGACACCTGGACAGGTTTCCAGTCCATCACAGGGACACCTGGACAGGTTTCCAGTCCATCACAGGGACCCTGGACAGGTCTTCTGTCCATCACAGGGCCTCTACAACTCATGTGAGACCATAAGAGTCCCAACAAATGCTTTGAGACATTTTTGGGACACTTTGGAGAGTAAGGTTTGCAGTTTATTTCTAACAGTTGCAGCTCAGTGAGACAGGACCTTAACCAGTGTGAGACTGGATCCAGTTTGACCCCTCAAACATGAAATCATTTCTTTGTCTCAAGGAGACGCTGGAGAAATCTGGTTACTTGTTAAAAATGGGCGGTCAGGTGAAAGCCTGGAAACGTCGCTGGTTCATCCTGAGGAAGGGCGAGCTCCTCTACTACAAGTCTCCTGTGAGTGGATCTCGTTTCCTTTCTTCCAAGATGTTTCATTTTTATTTATAGGTTGTTGTTTGTTTGGACAGCAGCAGTCAGTTAACGTGTCCCTTCAGTTGATACATGTATAGTCAGGGAAGTTGCATCACTGTGAAGGTAAATTGTGTCCATTTCTTTTGCACGTGTGTGTTTTTTAGAGCGACGTGATCAGAAAACCTCAGGGTCAAATCCAGCTGAACTCGTCCTGCTGTATTGTACGAGGCGAGGCGGCGCAGACCTTTCAGGTGAGTGGAAACAACTTGCACAATATTTATCACAGACCGCAACACTTTCTGCTTCAGATTTTTATCTCCCGCTACAGAAGCCAAAAGAGTGATAGTGTTTTTGCCTCTCTCTGTGTGATGGTTTGTATGTCTGTTAGCAAAATATCCCATGAACTACTGGATTAATTTAATGAAACCTTCAGAGTAAGAACATCTACAACTGATTACCTTTTGGAGTCTACACAATTTAATTGTGGAGTCTACACAATTGGGGAGTGATGGTGCAGAGTTAAGGTGGGCCTGTTATCGGAAAGTCGCCAGTTCGACTCCCCGGACCGACAACATCAAAATTTGGGTGGAGAAGGTGAAACACCCACTCCTTCCTCCACCTTCATTTCCCCCACCTTGGGCCCTTGAGCAAGGCTCTTAACCCCCACCTGCTCCCAAACAGGTCTCTCTTGAAATGAGTCCTCGTGACTCAGTGAGACTGGCCTGGATAAATAAAGGTGGAATAAAAAAACAAGATGGCTGCCAGAGCCCCTGATCCTAGCAAACACAAAAATGGCTACGTCCACAGATGTGACAGATGTGGCAGCTGTGACAGATGTGGCCCACATCAGATGTTTTTCATGTGACAAATCTGATGAATTTTTCAGATCCAACCCTGAATTGGAAGTTGATGATCTAATGTTTTTCAAAAGGACTCCAGTCTGAACAGTCATTTCATTCTTCTCTTACACCAGCGAGGTAGAGGTACCTGGACTGATCCAAGCTGTAACTCTGGTTAAATGTTGGAACTTCACATGTCTTCAGCTACAGAGCAGGAGTCCAGCTGCTTCGTCTTTCTTCTTTTAATTTCTCATGTCGTGGACGACTCCATCTGCAGCAACATTCTCCAACGTTAGAGTCGAAGCGTATCGATACGGACCTGAGTGGTTAGTTCACTTAGTTTTACCTTCATTACGTCGCTCCTGCTCAGAAACAAGATTGTTGCACCAGAGGAGCCGTTGGTAAGAAGAAATGTAAACAGTGAAGCAACAAACATGTCAGATAATAATGTAATTGGTTCTGATGGGCACCAGCTTCAGGATCACACGTGTAACGTGTTCTCTTCAACACAGCGTGCTGCGTTTGATGTCACGTTTGCTTCTGCGCATGTGGGTTGACCCAAACTGTAAATGGTTCACAATGGAGTTTGATGGAGGTGCATTTGAATAGTAATGCTAACAACCACGCAAAAAAATGTAATTTGAGCAAAAACTTTGAACTGAGCATTAAGACCTGCAGCGTAGACGAGTTAACAGATGTGGAGTCTGGGGCGTTAAAGTCACCACACCAGATCTGCTTTTATAATTTTGCCTAGAACTGTCAGATTTAATAGACTGCTCAGTTAGCAAAATATCCCATAAATTACTGGATCTTTGTTATTGGATTTATATTGAAAATTTCAGGAAATCATCCTTAGATGATCTAATAATCTCATCTATAACTGATTAACTTATGGATCAACCCAATTCAAGATGGCTTCCAGTCAAATAAAACACCAAATGGTCTATGACTAAGAGTCACTGATATTTAGCTAAAGTTTGGTGTGTTGGTGCAACTAATCACGACACAAACTCCAAGTGTCGACCGATGAGCAACACGTTCGTCTGGAGTTGTGACTCTTGCAGTCGATCTGTTAGCAAATTATTTTATGAACCACTGCACAGTTTTTATTGAAACTCTGAAAGGAATCTTTGGTTTTACAATAATACCATCTACAACTTGGTCACTTTTGCAGACACTGAGCTAAAGTTTGCAGTGGTAGTAGCTGAGAGTCGTACTCAACACGTAATGTGAGCGTTAACAGATCTCTTCGGATCCTATGAGATTGCACCCAACGTATGTATTTATATATGAATACATTCATTTCAGCCAGAATATTTTTCTGCTTTAATCCATGTTTTATCATCTGAATGCTGAAGGTCCTGATCTGGGACTAGACTGTGATAACGCTGGAGGTGTGCAGCTCCAGATGACGTCAGGTCGTTGGGACAGGAGAACCTGATTCTGATCTCTGACGTGGTTTTAGTTGGATTAGATTAGCACTTCACCTTGTTTTTTCTTTCTGTGTTTAATCTGATCAGCTGATTACGGAGAAGACGACCTTTTTCTTGACTGCTGACTCACCCAATATCTTGGAGGAGTGGATCAGAGTTCTGCAGGACATTCTCAAGGTCCAGGCCAGCAGCCCCGTTACTGTGGAGATGAGACAAAAACCCACCGTGAGAGGGTGGCTCACAAAGGTCAGTAGTTTGATTTATCATTTAAACACATTTCCATCCTACCTGTCACACCTTTGTGCTGCTGTAAGAGCACATGACTCCAGACCTTAACACTGAGGAAACTTTATGATGCCACCACCACCATGCTTCCAGTGCACATCGATGTTTCTTCTTGTCATTCTTCCAGAAGGACCAGGTTTGTGGATGAAGGACTTATAGTTGTCCTGTGGACAGACTGTCCAACCTGAGCTGTGGGTCTTTGCTGCTCCTCCACACTTGAGGCCTCTTGTCTTAGATAATGCTCTCCTCTCTCGGCCCGTCTGTTCAGGTGGACGTCCGTGTCCTGGTATGTTTGAAATTGTGCCAAACATTTCCAAACGCTGAAGGGAACAGAGCTCTGTGAGATCTTTAAAACTTGGGAGATTGTTTTATAACCGAGCTCGACTTATTAACAACTTCTTCACTTTCTCCCTGACCTGTTTGCTGTGTGTTCCCTGGTCTTCATGATGCTACTTGGTTGATTTAATTTAAATTTTACTAGGATAAAAAAAAACATTGAGATTTAAAACCTATTTTTCTAGATTTTAACAAAGAACACAGACGAGGTACACACGACATTAGTGAATGTAGTTTTCTCTTGAGCAGGGGCTGCAAGTAAACTTTAAATGTTTTTGGTGCTCAATATTCACGCGGGTACTTCTGCATGTAGCAACACACCAAACAGGAAATTGGCCCATTGCTTATTTTTTGTTATCCAGCTCACAAGGTTTGTCATATATATGGTGGCAGCCATCTTGGATTTTGAGATGGCAGTCTAATTTTGCACATGAACCTTTCTTATGTCTGGAAGCAGCTATGCACCCAAATGGAAGTCTGTACCTCACTTGTTTTTTAAGTTATCACACGCACAGCATGCACGGACCAATGGATGGACAGACAGACCTATGGAGGGATGGAGAGTATTCCTCCTTTTCGCTCTGCAGTGGGGTACAATGAGGCGACATCTGAAGGAGATCCATTACAGGAAATTTAGTTTAGGCTCAAAGTGAATCAGTAGTATGAGTTAAAGTGTATGAAAGTCAGAGATATACTTCTTTCTTAAAAACATTCATGTTTGAACACAGCTACAGGACAGGAGCTGCTCAAATTCTGCAGGGGGTGGTCCTGCCTCCAATGGGCCCGTTACCATAGCCACCCTTCAGAGGAATCCCCTTGATCTGGAAGGCATCCTTGCTTCTGTCAATGACATCATTGCTCCTTTTCAGCAGCTCTCAGAGTGAAGCCTTCTCAGAAACACGGAGCTCCAGCTGCTTCTGGTTGATGTTGAGTGTAATAAGAGATTTGAGCTGTTGTTGACGAGCCATCTGAATTTGGCAGGAATTACCGGTCACGTTATTTTCAACACAGAAAGATGATCTTTAATGATCTACTGCTGGGACATTTGCAACTTTAATGGAAACATTTCCTGAACAGCTTGTGAAAAGTTATTTAAAAACTGATCAATAATGATAAATATATCTATATTTCTCCTTTGGCTGTTATAGCTCGTACCTCATGGGCTGTGGCTGCTACAGAATATCATTCAGGAGTTTCCAGTGTGTTCTGAAACGCAGACGTTCAGTTTTTCACTTGAATTTTAAACACGTTAAAAAGATTAGTGCAACAACTGGGTTTTGAAAATAGTCACGGAGTTGTTGCAGGGGCCTTGAATCCCATCTCAGTTAGTTTTAAAGAAAGCTAGATCTGCATCATGACACCTGCTCCTAGATCTATTTATGACAGAAAGTCTTAGTACAGCCCCAAGTGTCCATGAGAAAAACAAGACCAAGATCTCAAGATGTCACATTCAGGGTACTGTCAATTCTGGACTATTGAGCACACCTGACTATAAGCCACGCCCACTAAATAAAAAAAACTGTACATTTACAGGCCGTACTTGTTTACTTGTTACTGTCTTTAAAGTCAGTCAGTTGTAGATTCAATGATTATTTTCTGAGTTTTATTAAAATTTGTTCTGTGGTTCATGAAACATTTGAACACAAACAGGTAAAATCTATTGCCCCCATTTTGCCGTTGGGTGGAGGCAGTAATAGTTTAAAAATCTGTACGCCGATGCCCCATCATCACTGGAAGATTTAAATAGTGAATATTGTTGCAAAGCTCTCAATTTACCGGTCGATTACGTTCCCACCCTCATCTATGGTCATGAGCTTTGGGTTGTGACCGAAAGAACGAGATCTCAGATACAAGCCTTGAAATGAGTTTTCTCCGCAGGGTGTCTGGGCTCTCCCTTAGAGACAGGGTGAGAAGCTCGATCATCCGGGAGGGACTCAGAGTAGAGCCGCTGCTTCTCCACGTCGAGAGGAGCCAGTTGAGGTGGCTCAAGCATCTGTTTAGGATGCCTTCTGGAAGCCTCCCTGGTGAGATGTTCCGGACACGTCCCACCGGGAGGAGACCCAGAGGAAGACCCAGGACACGCTGGAGGGACTATGTTTCTCTGGCCTGGGAACGCCTCGGGATTCCCCTGGAGGATCTGGACCAAGTGGCTGGGGAGATGGAAGTCTGGGCCTCCCTACTTAAGCTGCTACCTCCGCGACCCGACCCTGGATAAGAGGAAGAAAATGGATGGATGGATGGATGGATGGATGGATGGATATTGTTGTAGTTTTAGAGATGAATAGGTTTTTGGACAGGTAATGGAAGTAAACCTTAATGTTTTTACTGTAAGGTATTCAAGTGGGTAGAAGTTACACGGTGTGTACAAATAAACTTTTTTGTTTTTGTTCGAGGCAGCACAAAGTGGCAGGTCCTGCTGCGTGGATGGAGCATTATTGACGACCAGTTGCACTGGTGGCCTTGACCACCATAGATGATCCTTCGGACACACCAATCGTTGGAGAAAACTAGACATCATAGTTTCCTCAAATGATAGAGGTGGTCAGTTTACATTTATATATGACCGCAGCCATCTTGGATTTTGATGTGTTAATCCAGTTTTTGGTACTGGCCGTTGTTAGGCCCAAATGCAGCCATGATGGAATGGAAGTCATTGATTTTTTTCAGTTTTCATGCTCACAACATGCACAAACGGATTCTAGTTCCAATTTCTTGTCTTCATGCTCCTTGACGGGGGAAAATGTTTGTGCAGATCAGTTAACATTCATTTCAAAAGTGGGTTAAATCCTAAATGTTGGGTTGGCTGTCAAGGTGGATACAAGCTGATGGAGGTAGGTGCATTATGGTTGGAGGTATGTACAGGCAAGAATACATTTTCACACGCTGCATGTGCAGAACGAGGCGTCCTCGTGTGATGGTCTCTTTGCTCTTACCCAGAATTCAGTGAAACTTGGAGTGTCCAGCAGTTGCAGCTCAGTGAGATGTTGTTTGTGGAGAAGCAGCCACCGTTTGTCCTGGAAGGTCTCACATGCTGCTTCTTTCTTTTCAAGGTCAAACATGGACACTCGAAGCTGGTGTGGTGTTCGCTGGTTGGAAAAGTCTTCTGCTACTGTCGCAACCAGGAAGACAAGGTTATTTTAGATTTGACCCATCTTCTTTGGATCTGATCTTTATGTCTGCTCTTCAGTAGATGTATCAGCCCAGTCTGGACAAAACTCAACACTTATTGACAACAACGGCTACGTGTTTGCTAATTATTAGACCTTTCCTGTTCCAGCTGCCTCTGGGTCAGCTGCAGATGCGAGAAGCTTTGGTGCAGGAGGTCGATCGCTCTTGTGATTCAGACGAGGACTATGAGGCAGGCAGTCGAGGTTTCCTCTCCTCTCACTGCACCTTGGTGGTCCAACCAAAAGATCAGAGTCCTACATACCTGCTCATCGGCACCAAGCAAGAAAAAGTAACAGGAATGGGAACGCCTGAGCAAAATATTTGACTTTGTCTTTTTTCTGTTTAAACGTGAATTTCTTGTTCACAGGACACGTGGCTGTACCACCTGACTGTGGCCGCTGGCTGCAGTGCAAACTTCAAGGTCGGCACGGAGTACGAGCAGCTCATTGGTAAACTCCTCGATGCAGACGGAGTCCCAGGTGAGAGGTCCATATGTCACAGTTCTAGGCCTCGTGACCACGTGCACGTTTCCTGCCGCCTGTCATGTCACACATTTAGACTGAGATCACCTTCTAAGAAGAAACGACAGGAATGCTGCTGTTCTGCTCAAACAGTGAATGAAGCAAGTCTTACACAAGAGAACATATGTGTAGTGGACGACTCTCAGCTACTACTACAGTAAAACTCAGCTTGGTATTTGTAAACTTTACAAAGTTACACCCAGTTGAGTCTTAGCCAATACACACTATCTGTGGCAGCGTTCTTAAACTGGATAAACTGCAACTAGAAGTTAACCAGTTGCAGCAGCTCATCCAATGATTGCTTTAGGAAAGTTTTGTTGAAAGTGTCATAAGAGATATTTTGCTAACAGACAGGGTTGACTCCGACATTTAATACTAAAGGTTTAACTAAAAATATTGCAGAATGAATACCACCCAGAGTCCATGTGGTGAATGACTCGTGTACTAAATCTGAGCATAATATGTAAAAAAAGTGACATAATTATTTTTGTGTTTTCCAGAGCTGGGGCGGCCATCTTGAATTGAGTAGTTGGTTTATCAGTGGTAGATGTACACTCAGTGATTATTTCCTGTTCCATAACAAAATGTCCAGATGTTCATGAGACATTTCTCCAACAGGAAGACAGAGTTGACTTTAATATTTAATGTCAGACTTTTAGCAAAGGTCCAGCAGTTTGTCAGAGCTCAGCGTCTGTTTTGAGGTTCAGGTTCAGCCACACCAGCTGGAAGCTCAGTGCGTGTAAAACTGGTGCTTTTAAGGTCACGTGGCCGTGGCAGCCATGTTGAACTGGGATGATGTACAGCTACTGACTTGTAGATGCACATCACATGATTATTGATCATTTCCCCTCTTTGTTGGTAACTCCAGTATATTGATACCTGTCAGGAAGTGTAGACACAGTTAACATATATTTGAAACAGACTGACCTCTGAAGGGCCCCCCGTCCACCCAGGAATTATATTATGTGGACACTCAAAGGTGTCAGCCTTGCATCCTACAGCCTTCTTCATCATCGGGGACAAGATCTACATTTCTTGTTGTTTCTTGGGAAGAACGGATGTTTCATTTTTTCCCTGTCGTGGAGCAAAGAGGGGGAATTGAAAGTTTCCTCAGTCTGTTTGTGCATGTGAGCATGAAAACTTGAAAAATAAAGGAGGACTTCCATTTTGGTGTGTGGCAACATCTAGGCGTAAGAAAGGTTCTTTCTAAAAACTGGGTTACCAAGGAGGAGTACCGGAGGGCCAGGCGTCCGCAGCCTCGGCTGTTTGTTACTGAAGCAACAGCTGGGGTGTGGGAGGAGCTGGGTGAGGGTGCGATGTGGGAGGAGTTGGGTGAGGGTGCGATG